GGGTATTTTTAGGGCCGTCCCTCTTCAGGCGGAGTATCTACAGGCCTCGTCTTAAGTCGGTCGGGCGTGTCCCTCTACGGGAGGAATGTTCCAACAGAGTCAAGAAATAGTCTGGGGACGAATGTTCTATCATGTGTTGTATGTGTGTTGAAGATGTGTGGGGCGTGTCCCTCTGCGGCGTGTCCCTCTACGGGGCGTGCTCCTCTGGGTAAGTTGGTGGGGCGTGTCCCTCTACGGGAGGAGTATTCCAACAGAGTCAAGACATAGTCTGGGGACGAATGTACAATCATTTGGTGTATGTGTGTTGAAGATGTTTGGGGTATTTTTTGGGCCGTCCCTCTACAGGCGGAGTATCTACAGGCCTCGTCTTAAGTCGGTCGGGCGTATCCCTCTACAGGAGGAATATTCCAACATAGGCAAAGCATAGTATGGTGACGAATGTTATATCATTTGTTGTATGTGTGTTTGAAGATGTGTGGGGTCTTTTGTTTTGGCCGTCCAACACCCGCCTGTAGGTGGACATGCCCGACCTGACCCTACCGTCAGGGAGGCGTCGAGACCGAAGCTGTGCCCGAGTCTCTGCCTGGGTGTGGCCAACACCTGCGCCCGAAAGTCTCCAACCGCGCCCAGGTGTGACCGAAATGTTCGGTTCGAAGCCGAGACGATCTCCAACTTCGGTCACATGTTCGGTCACACGACGTTTTCGGTCACAACTTCGGGCACGTTTTCGGTCACCGATTTTCATTCGGTCACTACCCTTGCGGCTAAGGGGGCAGCAGCTGTGGGGGAGGAGAGTGGCTCGGGGGGGATACCTCGAGATGAAGTTTCGGGCTCGAGGCTCCAGGCTCTGGACGTTTTCGTTTGGCCTCGGCGGCTTCTGGCCTCGGGAGGCCCACCAGCAGCCGCACCTGGCGGACAGCGTGCTGGGGTTGCCCCGATCGCCCTGGACCTCCCGAGCCATGGAGCGCCGAGCCACGGCCCGAAGACCAGAGGACAAAGGGGCAGCTCCAGGGGAGGCCAAGGCTCAGAGGGGGTGGAGTCTTGATCGAGGACCATCGAGGAGCACACACGAAAACGCAGGGAATGGACGTCCGAGCGATGGCCAGGAGTGCGCAGCGACCCCCTGTCGCCCATTGGATCGCCGATGTGGGGCCCGAGGGCCCCTTTCCGCCCAGGAGCGTGCGGCTTCGCTGGCGGGAGCCCCTCGCCGAATCGATTCCAGGTCGATGCCCCCCCCTCCTCCTCCTCCTCCTCCTCTTCCTCCTCCTCCTCTTCCTCCTCCTTCCCTCATGTGCCAGTCCCCCCCCTTGTCGTTGCCCCTCGGGGGTGCGTCCGTGTGTGTGTGTGTGTGTGAAGGTTCAGTTCCGAGGCCCGGCGCGCTCTGGGAGTCCTTGTCTGCCCGAGCCGTATGCCCGTTAGCCGCTTGGGCCGCCTGAAGATCTTGTGCTTGGGGCTCGATTGCGCTCGAGCGTCTGATTAAGACACCTCCTCACGACAAGTTGGGTCTGCGTTGCTTAGCAAACGTTCCGGAAAGCTGGCTCAGTTTCCTGGGCACGCTCTCCCATTCCAGCGTCAACCACGGATGTTGGTCCAGGTCTGTTTTGAAAGACTTCCGGGAAACTGGCCCAGATTTCTGACATGTTTGTTTTTTGATCGTATCTTCGGCAACGAGGCGCTAAGGCGAAAACGACATTTTGAAAACGAGCCGCCCTCACTCCGTGAAACGATTGCAACTGTTTCAAAACAAATCCGCGCGGCGCTGAGGGGAGAGCCACATTTTGAAAACGAGCCGCCATCCATCCATGAAGCCCTTGCAGATGTTTGAAACGAATCTGCGGGGCGCTAATGCGAGAGCAACAGTGTGAGAATTAGCCGCCCTCAATCCGTGAAGCCCTTGCAACGTTTTCAAAACGTATGCGCGCGGAGCTGAGGCGAGAGCCACACTCTGAAAACTAGCCCCCATCCATCCGTGAAGCTCTTGCAGATGTTTATGCAACGAACGTACGCGGCGCTGAGGCGAGAGCAACAGCATCCTCCAGGTGCGAACATGTCGCTTCCGGTGCGGGAAGGTGTCATCCGTTTGCCAGAAGGGGGGATTTCTTAATAGCATCCGCGGGTTATGTTTGCGCGCTTGTGTTGCCCACGTGGCCAATCCTCAGGAATGTTGAGGATCCCCTAGGCATCCATAGGACTCCTGAGGACATCAATCGCAATCCTGAGGAATCCTTGCTACCCAAGATAAGGAGAGAGCAACTTCGATTCGCAACCTTCCCCCCGCGATAATCAAGTTCGGCCTTGCCGCCGCTCTTCCCCGACCGAACCTGTATTGGCCCGGGACAGTCAACTCTCAGGTGGGAAGGGGCGTTAATGATTACCTCCTTTGCCGGAGGAGGAGGAGGAGGAGGAGGAGGAGGAGGGGGGGAGGAGGAGGAGGAGGGAGGAGGAGGAGGAGGAGGAGGAGGAGGAGGAGGAGGAGGAGGAGGAGGAGGAGGAGGAGGAGGAGGAGGAGGAGGAGGAGGAGGAGGAGGAGGAGGAGGAGGAGGAGGAGGAGGAGGAGGAGGAGGAGGAGGAGGAGGAGGAGGAGGAGGAGGAGGAGGAGGAGGAGGAGGAGGAGGAGGAGGAGGAGGAGGAGGAGGAGGAGGAGGAGGAGGAGGAGGAGGAGGAGGAGGAGGAGGAGGAGGAGGAGGAGGAGGAGGAGGAGGAGGAGGAGGAGGAGGAGGAGGAGGAGGAGGAGGAGGAGGAGGAGGAGGAGGAGGAGGGAGGAGGAGGAGGAGGAGAAGGAGGAGGAGGAGAGGAGGAGGAGGGGGGAGGAGGGGAGGAGGAGGAGGAGGAGGAGGAGGAGGAGGAGGAGGAGGAGGAGGAGGAGGAGGAGGAGGAGGAGGAGGAGGGGTGTCGGTTCTGCCTGCGCGCTTGCGTTGCCCACGTGGCCAACCCAACAGGGCATTGGCCTCGAGGCCGCCGCGCCCCGGGGCACCTCTGCGGTGCCAGCGCGGCGCGTCTCTGAAGTCGGGCATGTCCCCTCACAGGAGGAATCTTCAAAAAAGTCCCAAACTAGTCTGGGGCCGATCTTTTGAATTTCGTCTGGACAGTTTCTGCATTTTTCTGCGTGTTTTTTGTTTTTTCTTCCAAATCCGCATGTCGGGGGGCACACTCGACCAAACGCTTCTCTCTGCTCGCCGGGAGGCGCAAAAGGGGCTCAGGGGCCACGACCCATCAGAGCTGACACGTCGATTAGCGAACTGGCCGTTAGGTTTGTCCATCGCCGAGAGGGGAATTCCCCTTTGTGGGCCTCCTGGGAGGCGCTCGTCCTCACCGCCGGAAGCACCTCGAACATCTCGTCCGAACGCGTCCCGGGAGAGGTCCGGGGAGTGGCGGCGCCCGTACCTTTCGATATCCTCGACCTAGATCCCCGACGATGGGATTTCTGTGACTCCCGAAGCTTTTCCTTCATTTCGGCCTCCGGGTGCCGTTGTCGAGCCCTGGGGCCACGTATCAACAGGGATTGGCCCGTGACGAAGAACTGGCCCCAGGGGAAAGGGCCGGGACCTCTGGGGACGCGCTTCGAAGAGCTAACTATCGGAGGCCGTCTGGTGACGGAGCGATACCTCGAGATGAAGTTTCGGGTCCGAGGTTTTAGAGGCTCTGGACGCTATCGTTCGTTCTCGGCGGTCTTCTGGCCTTGGGATGCCCACCGGCAGCTGCGCCTGGCCGAAAGCGTTCCGGGGGTGGCCCGATCGGCCTGAAGGGCCGCCGGAGAGCCGAGTCACTGCTGGAAACCCAACCGATCAGGGGCAACGCTGGGTGGGGATAGGCTCAGAGGGGATGCATCGACCCTCAATCGCCCAATCATCCCCGATAGGGGCCCGATAGCCCACTGCCGCCCTGGCACATGGGGACGTGCCATGGAGAGTCTATCGCCGATCTATCGTCGATGCGTCGCCGATTTCAGTTTTTCGTTTTTTCCACTTGAGCCGGTCCCAGCCGAAAGCTTCCCCTGGGGGGTCATCAGGGAAGGGACATATTCAGATACCGCTGCCCTTCCGTCGTGTCCACGGCCAGACTCGGCATGAAATCCGGATGAGAACTCGCACTGGGACAAGTCCAGGGAGTACAATCAAGACGCTGGAACACGCTCCTTTTTAGGAGCACGAAGACTGTAGGGATCTCGATATCTTCTTGCCCCCCCCAGGGCAGCTGCTGTGGCCCAGGCCGAGAAGCCTGGCGCCCCAACAAACTAGCACCCCTGTCTGAAAAGGGCCATGAGCAGTTTGAAACAAAAAGCACAAAAAAAACAGCGCCGAAGAGAGCGGCTGCATTAAAGCTTCAACATGTTATCACATACGGGTCTCGCGTGTTAGCTCGCCTGTTTCAAGCTGGCCTTCACGTGACTCCGGGCTTGCTTGGTGCACTTTGCTGTCGCACCGCTATTATCGGGTCATCCTGGTAGTGGCCGATTGGAAGACATGCTAGCATACACTGTACTGTAGGACTATATAGTCTGCTGCGCTTTACTTTGCTCAGGAGGGGAAGAAACACACAGACACCATGAATCGTCGACTCCCAGAGAAACGTGGTAAAATATGGGAAAATATAGGGGAAGACGAACACCCAGAAAGTATGGGAAGCTATGGGAGATCCTGGGATTTGTGTGTAGTTCTCTGCGTGTCCCCGGGCCCCCTCCAGGGGCGTTCCTGCCAGCTCGCCTCCGCCTCCCGCGGCCCCGCGGATCTGCGCTGCTCGCTCGAGCCGCCGAGGCCTCGGCGGGCGGCCCAAGAACGGGCAGATCTGTCGAAGGAAACAGAGCGTGGCATCGCTGGGACGTGTGCACTTTTTCTTGGCGAGGACCACCGAGGACCATCCTGGACCATCGGGCAACAAAGAAACGCACGAAGCCGAGAAGTGCACGGGGAATGGACGTCCGAGCGACGGCAAGAAAGGACATCAACAATATCGGCTGCCAGAGGCCATTCGGAGGTGCTCTCGGAAGCTTTGGGGGCGTCATGGGAGCCTCAGTCCTGAGGTCGCCCTGGCTCTCCTGGGCCGTTTTGGCGCTCGCTTGGGGCGCTGAAGAAGGAACCCTTTTCGTTTGGGAGGGGCTCCGTGTTCCTTAGCTGTTTTTGCTATGCTCCTTGGGTTTCCTGAGGTCTTCCATGGAACAGCGGCGTTATCTTATGGGGAAAAGGTGCCTCGTCCCTTATGTAGGGTTCCTTGGGCCAACGCCCCAACTGCAATCCAGAGGTGTCAGAACATGAAAATGGAGGATTTGGGAGCCGGGGAAGCGCATCGAAGAGCTCGTGCCCCCCCTTTGGTCCCCACCCTCCAGTGGGATATCTTCTCCCTGGCGAGGAACAACAGGGGAGGTGGGCAGCCAGACATGCCACACGCCTTCTCACTCCCGGCAAGTGCGGGTCGGCAGATTAGTTCAACCGTATAACGCACCCAAGTGCTCATTCCTACGCATGTTGCGAATGCCCACAACAATTTACACGTCGCTGTCCAGAAGCCCCCTGGGAGCCTTTCAGACGCCTTCCAGAAGCCTTCCAGAAGTCCCCCAGAGGCCTCGCATGAGCTTCCCAGGTGCTGTTCGGGATCCCCCCAGGATCGTCCCAGGCGCCTCTGCGAGGCCCCCGTCAGAAGCCCCATCCCTCAGCAGCCTCGAGTGATGAGCCCACGCAGATTCTATTCGGTTGCGTTGAGGTATCCGACGTCGTGCTTTACCGCAACGTTGATGGGCCTGTTTTCCACCACCACCGCCATAGGTAGGAGGGGTGGTGGAGGAGGAGGAGGAGGAGGAGGAGGAGGAGGAGGAGGAGGAGGGAGGAGGAGGAGAGGAGGAGGAGGAGGAGGGGGAGGAGGAGGAGGAGGAGGAGAGGAGGAGGGAGGAGGAGGAGGAGGAGAGGAGGGAGGAGGAGGAGGAGGAGGAGGAGGAGGAGGAGGAGGAGGACACCCCTCGCTGATGGTGGTGGTGGAAGATAGGCCCCTCAAGCGTGTCCCCCCCCCCCCTGGGGGCGGGGGGACAGCACTGTCACGTGTGCGTGTCAACGTCACGTGTGCGGGTGCTACACTGTCAATGCCACGCTTTCTGGTGGCGCTGCTGCGTCCCTGCTCGCAGCGCGCACCGCCCGAGGCGGCGGAGGGCTTGCGAGATCCACCTGCCAAACGCGGCGGGGGCCCCTCCCCCGCGGGGGGGGGGGGGGGGGCGACCGGGGCGGGACAGGCGCCAGGCGGCGTGGCCTCGGCCGCCGCCCGCCGGCGGCGCCGCGGCCCTGCAGGCGGCCTCGGCGCCAGGGCCGAGTTTCGTCGTCGCCGTCGTCGCGGGGCAATGGTAAGGGTAAGGATCGTGCGTGTGGGGGGGGGGAAGGGCTCGTTGGCGATGGCCCTCCTTGAGGGGCAGCGGCTTGGTCGGTGTCCGCTCCCGTCTTCTCTCTTCTCTTCTCCCTCCGGGAGCACAGCGGCGGCCCTCCCCTCCCCCTCCCGGAGGTCAGGGTGACGATCGTGCGGTGGGGGGGGGGGAAGGGGCTGGACCCCTGCCTCACGTGCTGGTGCTCGCGCGCATACCGTGGCGATCGTAGTGCACCTTTGCCCCGATGTGCCCCCACCCCGCCCAAGCGACACCGCCGTTACCCGTGGCCCCACCCCTCTACCCTTGAGTCGGGCCTGCCCCTTTACAGGAGGAGCACTCAGAATTTGTCAAGAAATAGTCGGGGGACGATGTTTTGACCATTGTGGAGCATTGTTTGAATATTTTTTGGATCATGTCAAATTTGTTCTCCCAAATCCGCCTGTAGGGGGACAGGCCCGACCTAAGCCGAGCTTCGTCATCGCCGCCGTCACGGGGCCAGCGGCGATTGGCGGCGAGCGAAGGGGAGAAGCGAGAGGGAAGAGGTCCTCGCAGACGGCGGCGGGACTTCTCCGAGGCGCTCGGGCCTTCTGAGAGGTGTTCTGCGTCCACGGGGAGGATTTTAAAAGCTTCTCAGAAGGCCGGGGGGCTTCCGCGCGGGCAATAGTTATATCCACATCCAGTGCGTGTTGGAGTTTTGGACTCTCTTCCCCAGAAACCGGAGGCGCACTGGATATGGATAAAAACCTTGCCCAAGAAGGCTAGATGTTTATCCATATCCAGTGCGCCTCAGCCTTGCGGCACCCTTTCCCCAAAAGTCCAAGACGCTCTGGATATGGATATAAAGATTGCCCGCATTTCGAGCCTTCTGAAAAGGCCTGCTTCTTCTCAATTGCCCCCAGGCTCGCCGCCGACTCCTGGGGGCAAGCGGCGAGGACGACGAGAAGCCTCGACCATCGACTCTTTTCGCTCGACTGGCGCCTTGCGATTGCGATCGTGGCCCGTGGGCCAACACTTTTCGAGCAGGCTCCCAGAGGCCCTCCCCCCCCCCGAAAAAACGCCCCCAAGGGGTCCCAGGGGCCCCCCGAGAAGCGCCGCAAAGATCCCCAAGCGGCCACCAGGAAGCCTCCAGGACGCCCCAAGAGAGCCCCAGGGGGTCCCCAGCATGCGTTCCTCTCCTCTCCTCTCTGATGCTCCCCCAAGTGTGGCGGGTCCGGATATTGTTCGCCGTTCTCAGGCCCTCGGGGCTCGACCTCCTCGAACTTCCAGGCCGGGACGTTCAGGCTCGAGGGTTCTTGAGCGTCCTGCGCCCGTCTGGGGCCTCGAGCGTCATCATCGCCACGCCTGGATCCGCCTGGAATTTCTGGCCTGAGCGCACCCCTCAGAAAGACCATGCTCGGTTTGGGAGGATGGGGTTGGGACCCTGGGAAGCTACGGGGCACGACTGTGTAGTGAGCACGCTCGACATGCGCGATACCACGGATGACCAGATGATCTCTCCCAGCCCCATCCGCCCAACAGGATTATCTTTCTGAACCCTGGCATGGGTCCTGGGGTTGACTCTTGACACCCAGGTTCTCGCGCCGGGTTCTCAGCCTCCGGGGGGGCCTATTCTGGCCACCTTGTAGGTCGTCGGCAGGCGACTCGGGATGGAAAGCTAGAGAGCGGGCGAAAGACCGCGACGACGCCGACGCCGACGACGGTGGCTACGAGGACGGCCGATGCAGCCGACGCCAGCGGCGTCGTCGTCGTCGTCCTCATCCTCTCTCTTGCTTCTCTTCCTCCATCTGCTCTCTCCTCCTCCTCCTCCTCCCTCCTCTCCTTGTCCTCCTGCTCGTTCTCCTGCCACTTCATCCCTCCTCTTCCTCCTCCTCCTCCTCCTCCTGCTCCTGCTCCTTCTCCTCCTCCTCCTCCTCCTTCAGAGCCCCGAATCATCAGGGATAACTCGGGTCAGGGATAACTCGGGTTCGTTTTTCGGGAATCCAAACCCGAGTTACCCCTGACCCGAGTTACCCCGGATAACTCGGGCGTCCAGAGCCCCGAATCATCAGGGATAACTCGGGTCAGGGCTAACTCGGGTTCCTTTTTCCGGAATCCAAACCCGAGTTACCCCGGACCCGAGTTACCCCGGATAACTCGGGCGCCCAACTCCTCCTGCTCGTCCTCCTGCCACTTCATCCCTCCTCCTCCTCCTGCTCCTCCTCCTCCTCCTTCTCCTTCTCCTCTTATGTGGCTGTTTGCTCACGGCCCGTGGCGGTGCTCGAGGACTTTGGGCGCGGCGAGGGGCAGGCGCGCCCTCGGCGGTGACCCGTCCCCGCCGAGGGTGGCAGTCTCATCGCACGCAGCTCTTCCTGACGGATCGTGCCTTTCGCTGTTTTGAGACGTTGTCCGCGACAAGTAGCCGCCGTTGCTCTGCCTCGCTCGCCTGTCGTCGCTCTGCCCGGCAGCCAGAGCCTTGCCTGCAATCGGCCAGCAGGCTAGCTCTCTTTGCCCCGCGCAGCAAACGACCCGCGCGCGTCGCTGGGACCCCTTCGGGGCGACCGGCGCGGTCAACGTTGCAAACACGATCGGCCCACGACCCCCGAACATGTGTTAGGCATGCGAGGCGTCATGCCAGGCATGGCAGCGTTTCGAAGTCAGCTGGTGGGGTGACGGGCAATTGCAATGTTGTGTAGGTATCGATCGTGCTGTGCCGTGCCAAGGGTTGAGTTGTACAGCGTGGTGGTGAAATAAGACGTGCCATGCCGCAATGAATTGCGTTGCGCTCTACAGCGTTGTGGATCAAGCTCCCCTTCGGCGCCCGAGTCCTAGCCGAAGCGGTCTGGGTCTTACGATCGGGCTAACTGAGCGCGTCGCTTGCCCAGAGCTTGTTGCAGTAGAGACGCGTGGGGCGCTCAATCCGCCCGAGTTCGATATCCGACTCAAGTCCGAAGTGGGACGGGATGATACGGCGCGCAAGGCTCGTGGACGCGCCACGGGATGTGCCAGGGGCGCACTCGGGGATGCGCGAGGAGACGGGCCAAGTGACGCGGCAAGGGACGCGCCACGGAAGGGGCAGGGGAAGCGCCAGGGGGCACGCCGGGGAACGCGACAGTGGACAAGCCAAGGGGCACGCCACGGGGCGTGCCGAGGGGCGTGCCAGGGGAGGCGCCACGACAAGGGACGTTGCAAGGGACGCGGCAGGAAACGTGCTAGCGCGCGAGAGGACGCGCCACGGAACGGGCAGGGGTCATGTGCAAACACATGGTTCCCGTTGCAGTTTAAGGAACACATGTCCCAACACAGAAGCACAAAGGGAGCGGGAGGACGGCGGGAGGTGACGCGGGGCGCTGTATCTTCAAAACGGGGACCCAACGCCACAATATGGTTGGACAAAAGTTGAACATGTCATACTCGACCAAAGCAACACACACCATGCCATGTAATCACATGGCTTGGCGGAACATGGCATAGCATAGCTCATCATAACAACGCGTGATATGATATAGCGGTGCATACGTACAATCCCATATCAACATATCTATTCCATAACATTGCATACCATAGCACGGCGTGGTATGCCATACAATAGTAACACATATCAGGCCACACCGAATCATTCCGTAACGCAGCACGTCACAAAGCATTCGATCGCATTGCAGTTCGCAACATGGCAGTGTGCGGCATCGCTGACATGTTGGAGCATGCAGCACCTATCATAGCACCACACTTCGTAACGTAGCACAGCACAACACAGCATATTGCACACATACATGGCGTAGCGCGCAACAACATAGCATCCAATGGCACAGCAGGCCATGTTATCGCACACCATCGCATCACCCACCATTCCATAACATGACAAATCATACCACGCCAACGTGTGGTAACACACATTTCAGCAGATCATGCCGTATCATAGTATGGCACCCTGGCGTAGCAATTCATACCACAGCATGGCATGGCATTCACATATCATAAGAGGACAACGCCACACCGCGAATGCAATGCCATAGCGGATCATACAAACTATAGCACGCATATCATCATGATGCGGGGGGGGGGGGGCGAACGGCCACTCATTGTCCTTGGGTGTGTGGTTGCAGTGGGCTTCCGCGGTGCGGATTGTTGTTGTTGTTGGTGTAGATGATGTTGTTGTTGCTGTTGTTGGTGGTGTTGCTCTTGTTGTTGTTATTGTTGTTGTTGTTGTTGTTGGTGTTGGTGTTGGTGTTGGTGTTGGTGTTGTTGTTGTTGTTGTTGTTGTTGTTGATGTTGTTATGGTTTGTGTTGTGGTTGTTTTTGCTCTTGCGTATTATCGTAGTCCCGCACCCCGCGACCCACCCGCGACCCACCCGCGTCCCACCCGCGACACACTCGCGACCCACCCGCGAATCATCCCGCGAACCACCCGCGCCCCATCGCGACCCACGCCGCGACCCGCCCCCGACTCGCCCGTGAACCACCCGCGAGCCGCCGCGCGACCCGCCCGCGAGCCGCCCGCAACCCGCCCGCGACCCACCCGCGACCCACCCGTGACCCACCCGCGACCTACCGGCGACCCACCCGTGACCCACCGCGCGACCTTTGCCGCGATCCACCCGCGACCCACCCGCGATCCATCCCGCGACCCGCTCGCGACCCGCCCGCGACCCACGTGTAACCCATTGCGCGACCCATTGCGCGACCCGCCCGCGCCCCACCCACGACCCACCCGCGACCCACACGCAACCCACTTGCGACCCGCAACCTGGGTCCCTTTCGCCCCAGGGCGCAGCAAGCGTGAACACACATGAGGCGTTCCAAGAAGGGCCGTGCTTTCGAGGATAGAAAGATTTGTCATCTCTTCCGCCGCGGAAGGCGGTGGAAGGGCGGCGGAAGGTCGGCGGAAGTAAAACGGGGCCGCCTCCGCCGGCGGAAGGCGGCGGACGTAAAACAGGCGCCCCCAATAGATGA